CTGTCTGTCTGTCTGTCTGTCTGTCTGTCTGTCTGTCTGTCTGTCTGTCTATCTATCTGTCTATCTATCTATCTATCTATCTATCTATCTATCTATCTATCTATCTATCTATCTATCTATCTATCTATATATGTATATATATATATATATATATGTATATATTATCTTTAAAAAAAAATAATCTTAAATTTACAACAAAATCTCTATATATGATCTAGACTAAATATATTTTATATTACAGGAATTCAATATATACTGATATCTTCATCAAAAATGTTAACATATTTCACCTTTTTCTTTTAAATTATACATTATCAGGAAATCGTAAAACAAAGAATTCTTTGATCTTAAAAAGAATCTCGCAACGGTTCTTCACTTCTATAACAGACTTGCGTGTCTTTAAACAAAATGGTTAAACTCATTAAATATACACCAACTTTAATTTTTGAAAAGTAAAAACAAAAATAGGTCACTTTGTTTTTGTAGTTCTTTCTTGGTGACCACACACATTGTTCAATAACTGCCAGAAGAATGTCTTGATATTCAGAATAACTTGCTACGCAGATTACTGACTGGCAGTTGTAACTAGATCATCAAAATCTAATAGCATTCCATCAAATGTTCTTCATTAAAAGTCCTATTTTTATCTCCAAGGCTTGCCTCTTTATCGTATATCATAAGGAAGCTTGCATTCTATCAATGAAGATAGAGATAATTTTTTTAATAAATAAAAACAATGTATTTCGTAACTTTATAATACCATAATAATAATACCATATTGAGAAGTGTTTCGATTGATATAAAAATATTTATTTTGACAGAATCCTCATGTAATAAGATAAGCTAAAATATAACTCTCAGGGAATGAGATTCCTGACCTCTGTGTTATTCGAAACAACAATATTTTGAAGTTGAACCTTGCTCACAACTGCCATTATGTTATCATCTGAACATGCTATATATCTGAGAGCTTCATTATTATTATTCTTATTTGATTTCAAACCCATTTGTTTGACTGGGTGAATGTTAACTAACTAACGAACCTATTGTGGTGATGGGTCTGAGATTACTCTCTTATGACCCCCGCTGGCACATAGGCTACCAGCTCCATCTGCTGAGCTGTGCCATATATCATTTGCCTCATGTCGCACATTTGAATGTTACTTGAGGGTTTTCAGGTGAGTCCGAATGTATAACTGGGTGTCGCTGAGATATTACCTAGGATGGACTAGTAAAAAAATTTAGTACAAAATATAAAAAAAAAGTTCTTAAGCCAATGTGGAGTATAAATATGAATACGACGTCATAATTTATTATTTTTTCAATGCTAAAAATGTTTTGACGTTCACGCAGAGAATGACTATAACACTATTTGTTTTCTTATTCAATTTAAACGTAATAACGGTGTTCAATATTATGAACTAGATCGCCGTCACACAGATGTGTGTCACTGGCTAGACTTGCCCCATTTTACAGTTATACTGGTGTGTCTGTTGATAATGATTAGTGGAGTTATGCCCCTTTGTATGAGTAGAAAGGTGCAACTCGATAGTGTTAATGTAACACTTGCTCCGAGTGTCACTCTGACAGCTGTCAGTACAAAAAATGATCGTATTTGGTCACACATGCACGGGGAGTCGTGTGGCCAACACTTGACCCTGGCGTGTCAATGTACTCATTTGTTTCCTACATTTAGAGCAAATCCTTTTTTTAAAAACTAATGGAGACGGTCTATTTTGCAGCTTCATATTGTCCCTTTTCTTCGCTTTTGTGTGCGTGTGTCCTTTCTAGTTACCATACCCTCAGAACAAACACAGCCGTAGTTCTTAAAACTTGATTTCATACATTTTTTAACTAATTTTTTAAATTGTCAGCAAACAAACAGCCATCAAACAGCCACATAACAGTCACCAAAACAGCCACCAAGCAGCCAGCAAACAGCCACAAACAGCCAGCAGCACTCGCCACACTGCTACAAATGCATGTAAATTTCGATAAATAGTGGGTTGATAAGGACTGGGGTCAATTAGGGCAAAAAATTAAGTTTGTCCTTTCACTTGCTTTTAGTTGAGTGTTATCGGACTTTTTAAAAAAATAATTAATTGTTATTGTAACAATAAGTGGACATGAGATATAATTTAAATGAAAGTCAGATAACCATTAGGAGATGATGCAAAATGTAAAATTTTGGGACAGGACTCCAGAGGGATCCAACAAACATTCTTAAATTTCAAACATACACCTACAAAAAATCTTTTGAAGGTCAAATTAACCTTCATCATCTAAGCGTAATTTTTGTGTAAATGGTTTTTGTGTTGTAAAGTGTGCATGATATCCACAAGAGTCAGGGACAAGGTATCCAAAATGTGTTCACTGGAGGACTAACTCCCCAAGGGATACGCCTTGAGCTGCTCCCTGTTGCTGGCAGATGATCTAGTATTCTGCAGCTCTGGCAAACACGTTCAGCAGATCAAGAGTCGGCTGCAGGAAAATCTAAATCCGAAAGAAAAACCTATTCTCGATAGTGGAAAAGGTGGTAATGCAGAGGAGACTATTAAATCACTGTTGGAGGAATTTCCTAAAAGAAAA